TTTTTTAAAAAGATTTTATTTGACAGAGATTACAAGTAGGCAGAGAGAGAGGAGGAGGCAGGCTCCCTGCTGAGCAGAGAGCCCGATATGGGGCTCAATCCCAGGACCCTGAGATTATGACCTGAGCTGAAGGCAGAGGCTTTAACCCACTGAGCCACCCAGGCGCCCGCCCCCCCCTTTTTTAAAGATTTTAAAAGTCATCATTTGACAGGGAGAGAGATCACAAATAGAGCCGCCAGGCAAAGGGGTTGGGGGAGAAAAGCAGGGTCCCTGCTGAGCAGAGAGCCTGATGCGGGGGCTCGATCCCAGGACCCCAAGATCATGACCTAAGCCGAAGGCAGAAGTTTAACCCATTGAGCCACCCAGGTGCCCCATGGTGACTCATTATTTGTAGTAGTTACATTCCATAAAGTCTCTGAGCACTAAATGAGCAAATACTGACTTATTACTTCTAGGGGGAATACAGGGTTAGGCTCCTGTGAGCCTCTGGTCGCATTATTTTTATCAATCTATCAATGTACAAGCTTGTTTTATTTTTCTATTTAAAGACACCTCGTGTAAATATATATTGTTGATTCAGTGACAGTGATCACTCAGAGCTGGCAACACTGTAACTCATGCCTGGTAAGAAGCTTATCTAACAGACATATATTCTCCCTAAGGCACAGCCTTCCTGTATTTTTAACACATTTGGGGGCCATTTTAAACAGTGAAATCACCAAGAAAAATTGTAAAAACATGGAAAATGTGGCACAGACTATGAAAAGAACACTTCTACAGTATGAGAGCTGAAATGAGAAGGCAGGGCATCACCTTGTTCCACTTTTGCCGAGAACAAGCATGCCAGGAGACTCAACTTTTCAACTGCAATGTACAGGTCTGTGAATGAATGAAAGCACCATGCATACTGATTTTAGAGTTTTAAATTTTAGCAAATAGGCAAATTTGCAAATAAGGACTTGATTAATGAAATTCATGGTGTGTATGTGTATATGTATACAGAGTGATTAATCTAGTGATTCCTCTCATGAATAGTGATGCTGAAAGCAGGGAACACGCCTCAAACCGCCTTCTTCTACTTGGTTCACAGAACTCTGCCTGCCAGACCCTTACTCTCAATACAGAAGGAAAACTTTCCTGAGAATATAAACATTCCATGACAATATATAAATACATATATAGATACCAATGCTGGGAAGATTCCCAAACAGCTCACCCAGACCACTCTAAAATGAAGCTCAAAATCATGAAATGCCTCTTATCCATTCAGAATTTCCAATGTCTCCTTCCTCCAGTCTTAATGAGCCAACAGACAAGAATTTCCAAAGATCTGTGGAAAAACCCTAGCACATAAGCCCAAAACAAATAAAAAAGCAATTTAAACAAAAATTAAACTCTCAGAAATTGAAAGTCTTATAGGAGAAATGAAAAATTCAAGGGAAGATTGGAAGATAAAATTAGGGAAATCTCTCAAAAAGCAGAGTAAAATGGTGAGATGGGAGGAAAACAATCAATCCAAGTATCTCTGGTCTAGAAGATCCTACTCCAAATAACAGTTCAAGAGAGAAAAGGAGAAAACACAACGAAGAAAATTAAAAAAATTTCCACAATTTCCAGAAGTGAAAGGACACGAGCTTCCATTGAAAAGACACAACACAATGGATGAAAATGCATCTATAACATCATTGTAAAATTTCAGAACTCTGGAGATAAAGGTTCTACTGAGATGAAAAAAAAAACCAGTAACAGACAAAAATATCAGGAATCAGAATGACCTCAGATTCTCATACATGAAACTTGGAAATGAATGAGGAAAAATCCTTTCAACTTCTGGGGGAGAATAGTCTACAACCTGCAGATTTCATACCCAGCCAAACTACCGACCAAATATGGAGGTTGAGTAGATTTCCCCAAATGCAGGGTTTCAGAAAGTTGACATCCCATGTACTCTGTGGTTCAAGAATTACTAGAGGATGGGCTTCACAGCATGAGTAAAACATACAGCAAATAGGCAAATCAACACACGAGGGAGAGAAGAGAAAGTAATCCCCAGGATAAGAGCTGGGCACCAGAACTGGAGAGCAACTAGTCCATACTGAAGATGTATAATAAAAAACAGACATGTTGAAGGCTGTCACGAGCACGATATTGACTGCCTTTGTAATCGGTTAGTATGTCCACTATAGTGTATCTGGTTCCGACTGTTCTATACTTGGCTTGTTTGACCCTGTCCCATTGGAGTGCTTGATCTTCACTTCATATTCTGACATCTAGATGAGTGGAAGACACTCATCTGAATCCACAAGAAGGTTCTGCATTGCTCCTGGGATCATGGTGACCTCAGAAGAAATTGTAAAATCAGTGTACAACCACAAAGCGTAGTTCTATGGGAGATCCAGGATGTTCCAGCTGTGGAAACTTGTGTTCCCTAGAACTCCATCACCTGGCTCAACGTCTCCTCCTGGGGCTCTTTTAAAATCTAGAGCTGATATTCAGCTCAGAGACTATTCAGCTCAAGGATGCTTTCATCATCTGGTAGTAAATATTGCCCTTATAAAGCCAGATTTGTGTTTCATAACTAAACAGGATACTGTGCTTAGGAATACCATACAAACTGAGGGTGGCTGGAAGGGAGGAGGGTGAAGGGATGAGGTGGCTGGGTGATGGACACTGTAGAGGGTATGTCTGATGGTGAGCACTGAATGTTGTGTAAAACTTATGAACCACAGGCCTGTACCCTTGAAACAAATAATACATATTAAAAAAAAAAAGCTGATGATTAATATAATCTAGGTAGTACTTAAGAGTTACTGAGGTGAGGGGCGCCTGGGTGGCTCAGTGGGTTAAAACCTCTGCCTTCGGCTCAGGTCATGATCCCAGGGTCCTGGGATCGAGCCCCATGTCGGGCTCTCTGCTCTGCAGGGAGCCTGCTTCCTCCCCTCTCTCTCTGCCTGCCTCTCTGCCTATTTGTGATTTCTCTCTCTGTCAAATAAATAAAATCTTAAAAAAAAAAAAAAAAGTTACTGAGGTGAAAGAGTGGAATGAAACTGAGGATGGAACCACTGGTGGCTTCTATGTTCCATTTCTTAACTTGAATAATGCAATGTTCTTGTTTTATTATACATTCTTGTATAAGTTCAGCAATTAAAATGTAATGACATTAGAATTTTTACCCTCTCTTGACCCTTCACTTTAACAAGCAACACACAGGAAGAAAACAACATAAATGCAGTGATAATGCAACTGTAAATCTACAAGATGGCCGGGGCTGTTCTTCACTTGAGATCATTTGATGATGTCACAATGAGGTGTAGATACAATGGACCACAGTTAATATACACACATAATGATAGCTTTTGATACTCAGACTTACACACACACCAAAAAAAGCTCTAAAATATCTAAAAAAGTGATTTTACAACAAGTATTAAGTTCTCATACAAAAGAGGTGCTTAAGGCACAGCAGGCAAATTCTTCATGACTTTGTCCCTACCTGGGATGCCTTAGGCCCTCTTTCTCTTAGCTAACATTGAGTCAAAGTCCCATTGTTCCAAGTTTAAGCAATTCTTTGGTGAAATCTCTTCCCTATCCATTCATTTACATACTACCCAGTAATCATTTACCAAATGCCAGGAACTGTTGGCATGGGGATAAAGCAGTAAATAAAAATTCCCTGCCCTCAGTTTGTTCTGAGAGAAGACTGAATAACAAGATACAGCTCAGATGGCAAGATTGCCATGGAGACCATAAAGCAGGGAAGAAGCTTAAAAAATGCAAGGGAGGGATGTTGCAATCTTCACATGGTCAGGTGAAAGTTTATAGTGGAGGTGACAACTGAACACCAACCTTGAGGACACATAATTTGCAGTAAGAGCAGTTCAGGGGGAAAGCAAATACCTAGACCCTCATTTCCAGCGGTCCTTCTGAGTGACTTGGTGTTGCTAGTTAGATTTTGCTGTAAACACCCTGACTCCTCAGAAGATGCAGTCCTTGAAGGCAAAACCTTCTTAATGCTCTGGACTTCCAACATTTGCCAGGACCTTATGTTAAGTTCCTAACCATTGTCAGAGACAACTCAAACTGTAAATACTCCAAAATTCTACAAAATAATTCAGAATATGTAAAGTTTGTTCTCCAGAATAAAATTAAGATCTTTAAATCTGGAGGATAACCTGTCTAAATGACAATAATGCTTCGGTAAGACACATGGCTCATAATTACCTTTCCTTGACTGCAAAATATATAATGTGCGGATTTATACCCTTTGGATAGGCGAAGTGATATTAGAAGCTCTTAAGAAGGAATCTGAATAGCATCTAGTCAAAATAATATTCCAATCTTTAAGATTCTTGCTGGTTTTAAGAACCTTCAGCTGAGAGAGCTACCAAAATAAATGGTCAACCTTCTCAGGATTTAATACATTCACAATACTAACATAAACTATCATTTGACCCTTTGCTTCTGCAGATCAGCATTTAAATATATAGTCCCCAGTTAGATTCTAATTCTATAATGACAAGCTCTTCAGCTGAGTTTTTTGTAGCAATGCCAGTTGAATACCTAATGCTACTGTTTTTCACTCTTAAAATCCTAGAATACTTAGATTTATAATTTAAGACAAAGAGAACAAGGTAACACCCACCAACTTTGGAAAAGTCATATTCAAATCAATTATAGAAGACACTTTCTAATAATTTAGTTATCAAATATAGCTCACCAGCTAAAAATGGTTCTGCCTCAGCCATTCTGTTCCCAACTCAGACCAACAGTGTCCAGTTTTTGTTTTTTGTTCCTCCCCAGAACAGTCCAGAAAGCAACACATTAGTCATGGACACATGAACAAGGGTCACTAACAACTCGTCTGTTGCAAGGGAGTCACAGTTTACCAAATAATTAACAATTGTGATGGTGTCATTGCTTGAACCTTGAAAAAGTTTACAGGGGGAAAAAAAAAACCCCAAAAACACACCAAACAAACCTCACCAAAAAAACAAGAAAAATTTCAACTACATCTTTTAATCAAATATGAATGGTTCCAAGCATTAAATAATGTTGAAAAGACAAACTTTCTAGTTTAAACTGAAGTAAATATTTCTGATTTTGAGCCAGGTACTCACTGAAGCCAAGGACATTTTCTTGATTTCTGCTTCTGCTTCCTGTCTTCGCTCTTCCTAAAATCCAAAAGTAAGTCATCCAGTAATTGAGTCCCAACAATCCTAATACTCATTTTTACCATCCTTTTGAAACAGCCCTTTGCATACAGCAGGGGGAAACTTATTTCCTACCAGTGGAATCTCCTCAGGAAAACTGTTAAACCACTCAGAATTTCAAAATGGAGTTTAATGGGGTCACTTTTCTACATACAGCAAATTAAAACCACTTAACTCCTGAAAAGGAGTGGAAAGGTTTCAAAGAACTATTTGAGAACATCTGCAAAAGACAGCTGGGACAATCACACAAATAAATGAAGAATACACCAATTCCATTTATGTTATGAAGATGTTTTCCTTAAACTCATCCAAACATTTCACATTTGTGAAATCATTTATTTCAGAGCAAATTCTAAGCTTCTAATATTAAGTTTTAAAGTGCTACAATATTTACAAGACAGATGGCAGAGAAAACCTGGTGGTATAAATACCTGCCAGTAAAAATGGCAGATTAAGTAATTTTATCTCTTTGAAGATCCTTGTTCAATACTGAACATAACGAGGAGCCCCAGCGGGCGAATGCACCTTATCCCAAATGTTCTACTGTCATAGTTTTAGCCTCTCAACATTCTTCTTCAAGTTTAAGAGCTCCTTTTCCTGCCTTCTTTTTTCCAGTTTGAAGGCTAATTTGTTAGCTTTCTTCTCCACTCTCCGCTCCTGTGTAAGAACACATTAGTGTTACTCAAATCTTTAAACCGATGAAGATTAACTTTACAGAAGAAAATTTCCACGACCATCCCCCGGCACAAGCTCTTTGTACATCTCCCATTACCTTGCGCTCTTCTTTTATAGCTTGCTTCCTTGCTTTTTTATCTTCTTTGCTTTCATTTTTAGATCGAGGTTGGGTTGACACCTTTGGCAGATCACTGCCATTAATCATCTGCATTCGTTCAACTTGTTTTGCTGTGAGTCCTTTCTTAGGTAAGACATTGAGAGGTATTCCTGTTTTAGAAGATATTCGGATTTGTTTGGGCTGAAATAAAGATAAAATCATACTAAGGTCATTTCCCATTCCTATCAAAAAACAGTTCACTAATGACACACTGTTGTTGCTTTTTCTAATAGTGCTGCCAGCCACGAAGGGATACAGCCACTGTGAGAAAATAATTTGTACATGCCATTACCTGCATTGCATACTTCAAAAAGCTCAGGACCCTAGGACTTACCTTTGGTTGATACTTGATAAGTTGTGGATGGTTATATAAATTTGAGTATGTACCTTTAAAAAAACAAACAAACATGTACCATGAGTATACTTTCAATTCAGCAAAGCATTACTGAGTTCCTACTATATCCCCAACTTTGGTGTTTTCATAGTTCAAAATAATGGAGTGTCTCCTCTAAATGTTTTTAAATTGTCTGCAACTTAGTGATGGGAGTATTACGTCTTCCAAATCATTTTCACAAAGCACATACATTTTAAAATAATTGATATGCTTAATACTTAAAAAAAACTCTGCCTTTTGCAGTAAAATGGACACTACAATACTTACTACAAATAGATTCACAATCCCACTTCTCTTTGGCTTCTTCAAGAACTACAGTAATAACCTCTTCCTCCTCAGATCCATCAAGTTCATTCATTAGCAAGTCCTGATCCTCGAAGGGTTCAAGAGTATTCAGTTTTACACAACTTGTGGTTGAGTTTTCAAAAATGGAGACAGAAGAGGGGAAAAAAACACCACCCATTATTATACTGTTACTAAAAGTGTACTTGAAAGCTATGGAAACAATAGCATTTAAAAAAATCCTAGCTCTCCCCAGCCAACTTGACCCTCCAGCACATTCATTCCACTGACAGAAAAGGGATCTTTGCAGGGTTCTAACACATGAACAAGATGGCAACTTTCCTAAAAATTGTTTTTTTTTTTTTTTTTTTTAAAGCCTCAAAAAGTATTCCCCGGGGCACTTGGGTAGCTCAGTTGCTTAAGTGACTGCCTTCAGCTCAGGTCATGATCCCAGAATCCTGGGATTGAGTCCCGCACTGGGCTCCCAGCTCCATGGGGAGTCTGCTTCTCCCTCTGACCTTCTCCCCTCTCATCTCTCTCACACTCTCTAATAAATAAAATCTTAAAAAAAAAAAAAAAAGTTATTACCTGATCTGTCTCTTCAAAGTAGTCACATATCTACTCAAAATACATAGCCCTTGTCCTACTGTAGAATCTGCAAACAACGGTAATCGTGGAATATCAGACCCTTCCAGCAAATGTAAACACCTCATTAGTTTCTTACAGAAAAATCACCTCGATATGGATGCGGAGCTGATTTGTCAAGTATTTGGCTGTAAAATTATGCTAATTTGGCTGGAGAAACAAACTCTTATCTTTCTATGCGCCATAAATACCAACTCAGAATACCTGGCATTTTAAGAAGATGAAAAGAGTGTATATAATTAGAGGTCTAACTTTTCAGCCAAAGAAGCTAAAAAGCACCACCTCATTCTCCAAGTGGAATGTGACCTTACACCCCTAATTCTAACCCTAGCTCTTCCACTCTGACTCTTGGGTGAGAGCCACAGAGGAAGTGGTTCTCAGGAGGTTCCCATTCAATGTTACAGTCAGCTTCAGAAGCTTAATATCAAAATGTGAGTTAAAATTGATGGAAAACATACAATTTTCTTCTTTTTCAAGATTTACTTGTCAGAAAGTGAGAGAGCACAAGGAGGGGGAATGGCAGGCACAGGGAGAAACAGACTCCCTGCTGAGCAAGGAGCCTGATGTGGGACTCGATTCCAGGACCTGAGCTGAAGACAGCTGCCTAACACACTGGGCCACCTAGGAGTCCCCAAATATACCATTTTCTTAATATAGATTGTGACTTGGTAATTTTCTAGATTCAGATGTCCAAATATAGACTTTATTTAAAAATGCAAAAAAGCAAGTAAACAAGAAAAGTCATCGTACTTCTCTGCCTTCTCTTTGTAGTAGTCATTCAAGACTTCCTCTAAGCGATTGCTGTCTACTTGAATGCAACCTTCCAATTCAGCATTATCCAGAGCTCCAATTTCATCATCATCATATTGCTCATAAAACTTGAATGCAGAGAGAAAAGATGCAACGAAAATTAATGTATTAAGACTGTAACATTTAAAATGTTATTTTTATGTTCATCTTTTAAGATTTTATTTTTTTATATATATTTTTTTCTTTTATTTTAAGATTTAATTTATTTATTTGACAGACAGAGATCACAAGTAGGCAGAGGCAGGCAGAAAGAGAGGAAGGGAAGCAGGCTCCCCGCCAAGCAGAGAGCCCGATGTGGGGCTCGATCCCAGGACCCTGGGACCATGACCTGAGCCGAAGGCAGAGGCTTTAACCCACTGAGCCACCCAGGTGCCCCAAGATTTTATTTTTTTTAAGTGATATCTACACCCAAAGTGGGGCTCAAATTCCCAACCACAAGATCAAGTCACATGCTTCATCAACTGAGCCAGCCAGGAACTGATTTTTACATTAATTTTACTACTACACAGTACTTAAGCACTACCTTTGATATCATAGCTACCGTTACAATATTAGCAGGGATTAGCACCATGACAACAGAATGTGGAAAACATTCTACCCAGTACTTTAAGACTTACATTTAGCCTAAAAATAGGCTGCCATTTTTGGGGGAAAGATTTACTTATCTTAGAGGGAGAAAGAGCACAAGCAGGGTGAGGGAGAGAGACAGAGAGAGAGAATCTCAAGCAGACTCCCCGCTGAGCGCAGAGCCCAGCTCAACTTGGGATCGTGACCTAAGCTGAAATCAAGAGTTGGGACGCTTAAGTGACTCAGCCACCCAGGTGCCCCAAATTAATAGGAAAGTGAAAGGTAATCATTCTGTTCAGCTTAGAGAACAAAGCTACCTAGAAATCTTTACCTCGGAATATTTTACAGATGCTTTCAAATTCACTGATTATTCCAAGTAAAAGACCATATAACTAAGCAGTCTCCTTTAAATGTACATTATTTCAGGGATGCCTGCCTGGCTCAGTAGGTAGAACAAGCAACTCTGGATCTCAGGGTGGTTGACTTCAAGCCCCACAGTGGGCTTGGAGCCTACTTAAAAAAATAAAATAAAAAATAAATAAAATTTCATTCTTGTTTAGATGTATACTGTATTTCTAGAATGTTGTTAAGGGTAAATAGGGGGCGATGGTGAATCCTGAAGAGTGAAGTCATCTGTAATAGTTTGCCTACTAGTACTTAGTGAAAAGGTAGCAAAATTAGAATCCTTTAGATTCACCTTGAAGGAAACCATTCATTCATTCATTCATCATTTACTGAATGCTTTGAGTTCTTATCATATGCCAGACACCATGTTAGACCTTGGGATATGTCAGTGAGCAAACACACACAAAAAACTGAAGGCAATGGAATTTTGTTTATGCTCAGACGAATGCTTGAGGAAAACAGCATAATCTTGGGGATTGGAGTCAGAGATTCAGAATCAAAATGTCAAATCTCTCTGAAGAAAGTCCAGAGATTGCATTAGTCATCTGTGACCTATATGAATTCTTTACAGAATTAAAACTAGGATGGTTTTATGGTCTGTTTTAATAAGACATAAGCTCTTTCTAATGCTAAAAGTTCTGGCTTTGAGTTCTAAAGTCATGTGAAATTTACCAGGAACTTGTATTAAAAGGCCTCTTATCTGGGGACCTTACCTTCTCAAATCTCTCATCATGAAGAGTCAGCTGTTCATTTCTCCTCATGACTGAAGATGTTATAGAATACTCAGTAAAGCGGCTTTTTGTTTCCTCTTCCCAGAATAAGTGATTTTCTACAGTCCCAGGAGGTTTTCCAGAGATAGACATGGTCTCATCTGATGAGCCCACAGAGCCATAGTTATCGTCATCACCACCTCTTTCCTTCTCATCATCCATGTCTTCCCACTCACTGTCATCTTCGGCCTCAGATTTCCTAAGCCAGAGTCATAAATTAACTGTCAAAACAACTTGAGAAACAACAGAACCAAATGACTTTACACAACTAAAATTTGAGGGTATTTCAGGGAGGATTCCTGTTTAGGCAGGAACAGCTGTGCTGCTTGACCTGTCTGGTATGGCTGGAAAAGTAATGAACCAGCAATCAGTCAAGTTGGACTTTAGCCCCACCTATTGTTGGTTTGTAAAGACCTCAAGTTTCACATTTTCTGCTCTAAAATACAAGAGCTGAACACTAAATGCTCTAAAAAACTGGTTCCAGTTAGGTACCATTCTACTGAAGAAGCAATAGTCAGGTCATCCCTGATTCAAAAGAAACCACACGTACTGTGTATCTATTCCATTTTCTTCTGTTGGCTTATTGGCCTGAAGAATAAAATCATCTTCAAGCAGATTATCTGGATTATCAAAGTCAAAATCATCATCAAGGGCTGCAACAATGTCAGGATCAAAATCCAGCCGAGGTCCTAGAAGGAAAACAAAAAGGGAGCAGTAATTCCCAAGAAAACACGATTCCTTTACTTACACGATTCCTTTACTTACCTATTACCTAAACTGATTACTATTAACTGAGTACCTATTATATGCCACATTCTACTTAGGTATAGAGAATTTAAAAATGATTAAAAACTTCAAGTTTGGTCTAGCGAAGAACAGAGAGGGACGACTATAAGAAAATAAAATAGGGGGAAAAAACACCTCTGGTTTTAGTACCCAATTGTAAAAACTCTTGCATTATAGATCTGCAAAATTATACTGTGTATACTTAGTAAAATGCAAGGTTTTCACCTGCAGTAAGAATCTGGGCTTTAAATTCACCTATTAGAAGTAACCCAAATTAAGCATGTGTAGCCTGGTGAACTGTTTTTCCAGCCTAGGAGATTTTAATAAATCCCAAAACTGTTTCTTCAGCCATGGTCTTTTGTGTGTAAAAATAGTGTCCACAGAATACTTCACGTTCAACTTTGTAAACTGACATGCTTCCAACATCCTTCATAACATGGGCACTGCTTGACTCTCCAGCCTCATTTCATATTAATTCTTACCACTCTAGGCATGCTAAAATGTGGTTTCCTACTCACGTTCTCTCAATTCTGCACATACAGTTTCCTTTTTGGAATATTCTCTCCTCCCCACCCTTCCCTCCTTTACCCACCTAACCTAAGAAATTAATTTAGACACCATTTTCTCCAGGACACCTTTCCCACTATTAACTAACCATTATTTATTCATTTGTACTGTAATCGTAATTTCCTATTTATTATCTATCCTTCCCAGTTGATGATATATTCCTTGAGGTCAGGGATTATGCTTTATTCTGATTTAACCCGAGACCCCATCATGGAGTGCTAACTCAAAAATCTACAGAATGAATAAAAGAATGAATGCTATGTGGCAAATATTGCTTAATAATTAAGGCAACTCAGGAAAAAATACCAAACATCACTTCTGTGTTTGTTCTAAAATACAATGTTAATACTACAAAAAACCCAAAAAACAAACAAACCAAAACACCCCAAACAATTTTTCAGTTTATCTGGAAAAGATGGTAAAAAGGACTTCTATAAAATATTAGACACTACGGAGAAATTCTGAAAGCAGATTAAGTCTATACGTATGTTAAGGCTAAGCGAATATTGTCGTTTCCTCTTCAAGAGGTTAGGTCAAGGTTAAAATTCCCCTATTTGACCTTCAAAACCAATTTTTCCCACTTCACTCTCCAAACAGAAACTCTAAAGACTAAAAATTTGATAGCAATAAACCAGGAATCCTGATCACTCATCCCTTCTGAATAACCTCTCACCTAAATTCAGACATCTCAATTGTTTTAACACTTTATTAGAGAGAGAAAAACTCTCATTGCTAAACTTTCCTTTTTGTAAAACATATCAAGTCACTTGAAAAGCTTAAGAAATTAAGCACACCTGAAACAGGAGCTGCTTTATTCAACAATCCAACATCTTCCTCAAACTCTGATGCAAATACTGATGAAGGCAATTTAATTCCCGTGGTCTTGAAAAAGAAATTACACAATGGTTAGATTGAGAAATACTTCTGACCTACTATACTGGATTGAAGTGTCCTCCCCAAAATTCATGTCCACCCAACAGCTCAGAATGTGACCTTATTTGGGAACAGGATCCTTGCAGATGTAATTAGTTAAAATGAGATGACAGTGGATAACGGTGGGCCCTAATTCATAAAGACTGGTGTGTCCCTGTAACAAGGCCATGTGATGACACAAAGACACACGGGGAGAATGCCACGTGAAGATGAGAGCAGACTGGAGTGATGGATCTACAAGCCGAGGAACATAAGGGACTGCTGGTAGCCACTGAAAGTGAGGAGATAGGTGAAGGACACTGTTCTTGCCCTGAGCCCCCACAATGGAAGCAACATTGAGGAAAGCTTACCTTCAGACTTCTGGCCTCCAGAGCTGTGAGAATAAATTTCTGTTGTTTTAAGCCACCCAGTGGTAAGATGTGGTAATTTGTTTTAGCAGTTCTAGGAAAATGAATACAACTAAATTCTGCCTTCTCACTCACTTGTACTCCAGTAAAATATTTGAAACTTGTATATCTTATCATCCTTTCACAAACAGATTCCCTGGAATACTTCAAAAAGTCTCCTCCAGCACATTACTCCATTTAATCCTTGTGGGATATCTGCATGTGGTAGTCAATAAAAGCTAAGAAAGGTCAAATGCCATGCCTGCCGGAAACTGGTCATTAAGTGAGGTTCTGGGATTCAAATCCAGGTTTTGTAATGCCACTCTCCTCAAGTTTCAAAATTTAACCTTATCCGTCGTAAAATGAGATAACATGCCAATCTCTGGTAAAGGCACAGCATTTCTCTGAATTGGCCATCTTAAATCCTGGGGTGGTCATAAATCATTTCTCTCCATCTCCATAGCCCTTTGAACTCTCTTGTGTACTGTGATTGCACGTAAGTCTTTTGGGCACCATCGTATTCCTGGCTAACAAAGACACAGATTATTACCACCACTGTTTAGATAGTCTGTACCTAATCCAACCTTCTTACCACTTCCAGATTAAACCTCCTTTATTATGTGACCTTCTTGAACTTTTAACAGGTTTTGATTTTTCACTCCTGATTTTCAAGGTCTATACAATCAAGGCCTACTTACTATTCTATACATCCAAACTTATTACTATTACTTAATAATATAGCCTCCATGTAAATCACATCCAGTTCCTCACATCATGGAATAATTCAAAGTAATTTATGGAGCACACATATGCCAGACACTATGATCCACACTACTACCTATGCCCCTTCTGACTGGAATGTTTCCTTCCTGCTTCAATACAACCCACCCTTTAGTGCCCAGATCAGTTCCTCCCTCCTCCATGAAGCACTTCTTGACCACTCTTCTAGAACTCTCCTTTGGGTAAATCCCTTCATTCTTCACACCATACACAATACACCTCAGTATGTGCTGGCATATATTTTCTGACTGGTCCTTATGCTTTAGTGTGATCTTATCAACCAGTTACCCATGTAAGGGTTACCACATGTTACCTGTCTCTTGCACCTCACCACCCACCTCATCCTCAGTCTAGAAGCAGGCACAAAGCTGAGATGTATATTCTTACTGGCTCATGCAGCATGTGGAACTGGAAGCCTCTGAGGAGCATGACTGAAAAGCTACGTAGAGGAATGCATACCCAGCAAACTTAGCTTCCAAAATGTGTTTCTTGGGGGCATAAGCATACCAAAAGATCTGGTTTTCCACCGTTATTTTTTTTTTTAAAGAGTTTTACTGAGATGGAATTAACGTAACCATACAATTCAGCCACTTAAAGTGCACAATTTAATTTTTGGTATATTATTAAAAATTACAAAATATGCAATTTTGTTTTGCTATGTTTTTTGTTTTTGAGAGGAGAAAGAAGAAGAAAGAGAGAATGTGCATGCACTAGCAGGGAGGGGAGAAGCAGGGGGAAAGAATCCCAAGCAGGCTCCATACTCAGCTCAGAGCCCAATGTGGGCTCCATCTCACAACTCTTGAGAATCGTGACCTGAATCGAAATCATGACTGAGCCCCCAGGCATCCCACTGCTTTGCCTTGTTTTGAAGATATTCTGTGATTATCTATCCTTGGAATGTATGGTTATTTAAAAAAGGGAGGATCAGCTTGTGTTTAGTAAATTTACCTTTGGCGATCTTTTTTAAATCTTGAAAAAGAGTCAAAAGAATCACATACACAATTTAGTTTAGATAGTGACTATTTTTTAAAAAACAAATGTTTTTTACTTGCAGTAGTTCTGAACTCTGTTGAGTTTGCCCAAATGTTTTCTACCATGGTGGTACCTGCTTTCTTTCACGTGACAGTTGGACTGCTTACTTCTGTACTGCTTTATTTTGTTTCTAGGGTTTATTCAATACTTCTGGTTTACTCAATTTTGGTGGTTTGTTTCAAATTACTTTAAAGTCAAAAAAAGTACATGGGACTCATCCATATTTCTTCATCATGCTACAGAAAACTGATGGCATTTTTGTTTTTAAACATCATTCTCTTACCCTTATAAACATCACAGAAGTGTCCATTTAAGAGCCTTATTGTATTAAAAAGCCAAATAAATAGTGATTATCTTTACCCAAAATGAATTAATGATTAAAAGCTAATCTTTCAAAAGCCAATACAATTCAGCCAGAAGAATCTTAGAACTTCATTAAGACTTTTCTCCCTAAGATAAAGTTGAACAACTATTGGACACTCTCCCCTCCCTGAGTCTTGGAAGGAGGTGAGCCTCAAAGATACACATCCTACTCCTGATAGTGTCACCTAGGGAAAGAAGAGTACAGAAGCTGGTTGTTATGGGATACACAACAGGAATGGGATACACAGCCTTACAAGAGAGCTACAACCTAGGAAGTGAGGAAACAGCTGCATTCATTATCTTCCTTTGGGATAACACCCTGAAACCTAGCCCTTTTGACTCCCCATAAGCAACAAGCTATAGACTGGAGAAGCTATGATTATACTTCCCTGAAGAAAAGAATGCCTAGATCATGAGAGGAGTGGAGGATGAGAAGTGGGAGAAATTGGTGCCCTTTTTAGCTCTTTTCTGTTAAAAACCCAATAAATGAGTATCTTCTACTTTTTTTTTTAAAGTCCCAGGTAGTATAAAGCTTCACAGGAAAATTTACTATATACTAATACTAAACAAAAAGATAAAGGCCTAAGACATGGGCATCTTTAACATTAACACGGGAAAAAAACAGAGCTTAAATAAATAGTATTAGTTTCATATTAAATATGCACGCTCATTTATACTTAAAAGAAAAAATTAAAATTGACTGCATTTTGGTTGAGAAGAGTCACAGGAACTTCATTACAATCTACTACTTCTATTCTCCGGGTTAGCCTGCAGCTTTTTACAACTGTTAAAGATATGAATATTCTGCAGAAATTAAGTTCTACCTTATAAGACACTTTATGACATTGATTAGTTAACATACACAATGTCAGCTGCTTTTCTTCTACTGAAAGGTTCTAACATAACCATAATTATTAGTCAAAATTCTAACCGTGTCAAAGGTTGCTACTTTTTTAAAAAGATTTGAGAGAGAGAGAGAGAGAGAGCCCAAGTGCATGTTAGCAGGGAGGCAGTGGGGGAGAGTGTTCTAAGCGGGTTCTGCACTCACCACAGAGCCTGACTTGAGGTTTGATAGTACAACCCTGAGATAAAGACCTGAGCCAAAACCACGAGTCAGATACTTAACTGACTGCACCACCCAGACACCCAAAGGTGACTACTTTTGACAGCTACCACCAGAGAACAGGCAGCCTACTCTCTCCTGATGGTACATACATGCACACACATATATAATTTTAAGTAGGGCATGGCTTATTTTTGTGTTAAGATTGATACCATTTCTTGCCTCAGTTATCTTGATTTATAAGTGGTTTTCTCAGTCACTCCCAAATATACTGGTAAGAAGTCTTACTGAAATTACTAAAGTTTCCTCTTTTTCATCTCTTCTTTCGGGTGCACTGGAAGTACTTATGGGAATAAGCTCTGAGGGGCCAGATGGTTCCTTCAGGTGCTGCAGATAGTCATAGTCATCATCAAAGAACACGCCATACTTCCTCTGTTCTGCTCTCCTTTCTTCATCATTTATCTAGGATAATAAACAAAATGGAATTAGTACCTCTTCCAAGCATAAGCCAGAAGAACCTTCCAGTGAACACAGCTTTCAGAACAGGACGCAGATGGCGCAAGAACATTTTGGCTGAGAGAAATGAGACAAAGAATTCTTGATAAACTAAAAAAAAAAAAAGTTTCTGAACCCGAGTACGATATAAAATTTAAATGTAATGAAAACAATTCCTGCTTCTACTAGACATTTCTGTGCAACAATTCAAGACAAGACAGAAAAAAAAAAAAGTAAGTGTTAGTGAGGATGTGGGAAAAAAAGGAACACTTGTGCACTGTTGCTGCGAATATAAATTCGTCAAGTCACTGTGGAAAACAGAATGGAGGTTCTCCCCAAAATTAAAAATAGGAATAGCACACAATCCAGTAATTCCACCAGTATTCACCCAAAGAAAATGAAAACACTGATTGAAAAAATATATAGACTCCTATGTTTACTGCAGCATTATTTACAACAGCTAAGAAATGAAAGCAACCCAGGTGTCCACTGACAGATGAATGGATAAAGAAGATGTAGTGTGTAAACGCACACACAAATATTACTTAGCTGTATAAAGAGTGAGATCTTGCCATCTGCGACATGGTGGACCTAAGGGTATTATGCTCAGTGAACTGAGTCAGAGAAAGACAAACATCATATGATTTCACTTATATGTGGCATTTAAAAAAAAAAAAAACAAGCAGAAACAGATCCACAGGGGCACCTGGGTGGTTCAGTCCGCTAGCATCTGCCTTTGGCTCAGGTCATGATCGCAGGGTCCTGAGATCAAGCCCTGCATTGGGCACCCTGCTCAAGCAAGGTGTCTGTTTCTCCCTCTCCCTCTCCCCCTGGCTTGCTCTCGTGTACGCTCTCTCCCTCAAATAAATAAATAAAATCTTAAAAAAAAAAAGAAAAAGAAAAGAAAGAAACAGATCCATAAATACAGAAAAAAAGACTGATGGCTGCCAAATAAGGGGGAGGGTATGGGCAAAAGAGGTGGAGGGGAGTAGAAGATACAGGCTTCCAGTTATGTAACAAATAAGTCATGGAAATAAAAGATACAGCAGAGGGAATAGAGCCAATGGTACTGTAATAGTACTGTATAGTGACAGGCAGTAACTACACTTGTGAGCACAGTGTAATGTACAGACATGTCAAATCACTATGCTGTACACCTGAAACTAATGTAACATTCTATGTCTAACTATACTTCAATTTAAAAAAAAAAAAAATGCAAGCCAAGAAACACACATGGTTTTATCATGTGCTTGGGAGAGTTAACAGGCTAAAGGGTCTTGAAAATCAGGTACAATTTCTTGTATTTATACGCAAAGAAACTTCTCAACATACAATACAAACAGGCTTTACTAAAAAGCTAAATACAGCCAACGTTCTCCAAGACTTTCTTTCAGATTTGCCCACACTAATACTCTGATAATTATCACATCAACATTTTAAAGGCTTCCTGGCATTTCCTTTCATTTTTCTTTCTTTCTTTTTTAAAATTTATTTGACAGAGAGAGAGACAGCGAGAGAGGGAACACAAGCAGATAGTGGGAGAGGGAGAAGCAGGCTTCCCACCGAGCAGAGAGCCTAAGGTGGGGCTCGATCCCAGAACCCTGGGATCATGACTGGAGCCAAAGGCAGACCCTTAATGAATGAGCCACCCAGGTGCCCCTTCGTGGCATTTTCCAAAGCTAATTCGTGAGTTCTAATGTTTTACATTTCATGAGATGAGTGATGAGGAGACAAACAGTAGTCTGTGATTTTTTGAAATGACAGGATCTTAAGGAAAGAAACCAGAGATATGCCCTAAATATCATGCAGAATTGTAACTGGTTTAGTAAATACTTAGTATTACTGTACAAGATTTGCTCATTTAAATATCTCAAATAAAGATGCTTCACTCTCTCAATCCAACGTGCAAGACAAAAAATCAGTACATTTACTAAAAATTTAAATTGTAGATTTTGTTACCCAAAAGATCACAGTTGCTGGAGAATAGCAGCTAACAATTTATTTAGGAACTACTGACAGTCCACCTGCAAACTCATCGGCTAACAAACAGGACCTACTTTCTGTGTGGGTAACAGAACCCTCTGAGGTGCAGTTTCATCTGCTGCTAAAGGATCCCGTTGACTCCGGTGGACCAGGTGAAAAGATACAGCTTTCTTCTTCTCTATAAAAGGCTTTTTCTTCCTGTGAGGCTTCAAAGGAACAGAATCAGAACAAGCCATCAAAGGAAACAAAAACAAACACACAAAAACCCACAATCCATATACAAACCTCCAATAAGTTACGCGAAGGATCAACAGATTTCTAAAACTTACATTGTTATGATAGGCAACATGAACAATGTGCAACAAAATCTGTAGTTACCTTCCTTCAATGCCCATTTGATGGCACTTACTGTGCTAAACTTTTTTCTAAATTTCTTTTCAGTGTTCCAAAATTCACTGTTTATGCACCAGACCCAGTGCTCCACACAGTACTGTGCCCTCCCTAATACCCACTACCAGGCTCACCCTACCCCAACTCCGCCCCCCTCCAAAACCCTCAG